AAGATGACGTCAGTGAACCAAACGCATGCAGGTCGCTCTTGTTCAGCTGTGAATAACAACACTTTTGCACTCTTCAAAATAAAGGTTCCTTTAGAAACAAAAAGTTTCAAAAAGAAAACCATCTGTGTACTGGTGCTCTAAAAACCCCAAAACCAATAGGCTCTTATGAAAAATTGATTCTTAATGGCACCACATAAGGGTTATTTTGCTTGTGGAATGCTTTTTGGTGCTGAATAGAACCCTGCTTTTTGAAAAACAAGAGTAAAAGAGCATCATTCAACACATTTTACTCCCATATAACTACAGGTCTACATTTTTCTTTTTAAAGGGGTCCTATTATGCTCTTTTACAAAGTCTTGATTTTGTTTTGGGGGTGTACTAGAACAGGCTCTCATACTAGGTTGTTCGAAAAACACATTATTTTTCACATATTTTACATTATTACAACACCTCTCTCCCCAGTCTGGCATGAACGGTTAGCTGGACCGGTGTGTGTTGTGATTGGTTAGCTGGACCGGTGTGTGTTGTGATTGGTTAGCTGGACCGGTGTGTGCTGTGATTGGTTAGCTGGACCGGTGTGTGGTGTGATTGGTTAGCTGGACCGGTGTGTGTTGTGATTGGTTAGCTGGACCAGTGTGTGCTGTGATTGGGTCGTTCGTTGTAGTTTTTGAAAAGTAGTAATAAAATATCTCCTTTTGAAATGGACTTTGTACTTTTTAACTTTGCAGATCTTTTTTATGCTCAAACAGCAACATTACAGACTTGCTAAAGATGAAAAAGTGAAAAAGCATAATAGGACCCCTTTAAAATAATGTCACAAATGATTCCCAATAAGACCAGAAGCATGCATAAAGAAAGTAAATATGATCAATTTTGATTTAATGTTGTTCTATAAACCCTAAAACAAAGAATTATTTCAGCATCAGATGGTTTTAACATGGTTCTAAATTATTAATAGCAAGGTCATAACTGCCTTAGACAATCGAGGGGACACACCACTAAGGCGTTTTTCAATGCTTTATTCATAAACAAGGACCTCTAAAATCCTAAATACTAAATACTGCCTTTCTGATAAACATTATCATACATCATTTAAAGGGATAGTTCTCCCAAAAATAAACATTTTGTCATAATTTACTCCAGGGTTATTATAGTTAACTAAAACTAAAACCATTAATAAACATTAACTGAAATAAAAAAACATACATTACAGTAACTGTTAATATATATATATTTTAAAAACAATTACCAATAACTAATAAATATGATACAATTATGAAATATGATGATAAATAAAATGAAAATATGAAAAAAAAAAAAAAAAAGCAAAATTACTAAAACTTAAAAAAATACAAAATAAATCTAAATAAAAGCTTTTTGTGCTTTGGATGTTGAAGATCCTTCATGGCACTTTGCACCACAAACTCAACAGTGTAGTACACTCAAGAACCCTCAAGAAAAATAAAATTATTCATTAAATAAGAGTTAGTTCAAGGAGTAGTTTATCAAAAAATTAAAACCTCATGTCATTCCAAACCTGTATGACATTCTTTCTTCTGAGTAACACACACACACACACACACACATACAAAAAGATATTTTGAAAAATGTTAACCAAGCTGTTTTGGTGACCATTTGACTTCCACATGGTCCAAAAATAAATTAATAAATGAATAGATAGATAGATAGACAGACAGACAGACAGACAGACAGACAGACAGACAGACAGACAGACAGACAGACAGACAGACAGACAGA